TTGCTGCAGAAACCCAACTCGTCTGTGCAGGACTTCCAAGACTCAGGCCCTTTTCTTAATTTTCTAAGGACCTTCCCAGCTCTAGAGCCCTGGTGGGATCCACAAAAGCCTCTGTTGCAACTACATCACTCCCTTATAGGTGTCGATTCCAAGAGCCCTCTTCTGTTAGGCCCACTCCCCACCTATGCAAATTTCCATCTCAAAGTCTGTTTCCCAGAGAACCAACCTTTCTCTAGAAATTGCTTACTATAAAGTTCCAGGTGCCTTTCATAATTAGACATTTTAAAGTTGAGAAAATATTTGTAAGTGGATAAGAAAAAGCCTACAAACAACATTGAGCATCATTTTTTATGTGATAGCACAGACTAAATTTGCATCTGTCTATTTTCCTACAGATTTCTTCTTTATGAACCTTTTATTTGGGGGGAAACACTCTTCTGTGAATGTCACATATAAATAGGTATGCCAGCACAGTGAAGAAGACAGAAAATTAAATGTATTTCTATTACTCCTTTTACCTTGCAGTTGGACTAACAAATGTGAAATATTTGCTTTTTTATCTAAAAAATGAAAATAGTTTTTGTTCTTTAGAAAAGGCATGGAGCATGCAGTTCCTTCCTTTTGTCAGTTTGGATTCACGGAGAAACAAACACCAAGGCAAGATTAGCGTAATAAGGACATTTATGAGGCAGAGTGCCTGGGAAGGCTGAAGAGACGGGTGCAGGAGTAGGCAGGAAGAGTTTTAGAACACATTACTCCATACAAATCATTCAATCTTGCACCAAATATTTTTTGAGTGTCTACTATGTATGGCTGTAATGTGTTTGATATGAAGGATGGATTACATAGGAAGTTTTAGATGGCAGGTCAGCCTGGGAAAGTCTTGGCCAAGCTGAGGAGGAGTCCTGAAGCTAGAAGTTAGTGGAGGAGGCCCTTCTCTAGACAGTGGACCTGAACTAGAACTCCCTCCAGGCATGATCACTGCCTTAGACATGGTTGGGGAGGGAGGGAGGAATATGATCCAGAGAAGCAGCAGCTGGAGCCTTCACTCAATTCTGCTGCTCCTGGAAGCACATTCTTCTCTCTTTCCCCAACCCCATTCCACGGGCTAACCTCTCTCTGCTCAGGAAACCTCTCTTGAAAACTCACTGTCCAGCTGTCCCCTTGCCCCTCACGGAGCTATTTTCTTTTCTCCACTAGCTCAGAGCCTGATATATTTACCAACAATAAAAGACTTAGTAAATGTTTATGTATCCGTTTCTTCTATTGTCTTAAAAGCAGGGATTACGATTTATTTATTCCTGAATTCCTGTCCCTCAGCACAGAGCTAAGCACAAAACAGATGCTAATTAATAGTGAAATGACTAAAAGAATGAAGAGGAATCCAAACAGATGAAGATAGCATTTGTGATTTTCAGATCTTGGCTTTTAAATTGAGAATTTTAGATATTTTCTTTGGATCATTGTGGGCAATAAACCTAACTAGTTTTCATAGAAGGGAAAGTTCCAAACTATGTGTCACTATAAATATTTATGTATTGCTGTTTTATAGATACAGAAATGTTTATATTTATGTTTTGAATAAACAAATTACAACACATCTTTATTTAAGAAATGCATGTGAAATGAATTCTTTATCTTAAAATAGGACCAATCTGTAAAAAAGATGAAATTTACATGATTTCTACCTGAGTTAACAAATCATATAACAATCCTCTTAAAAAAATGTTCATTCTTCTGCTTTGCAATACAGAGTGATGTTCAGAACTTATGGAAAGAAAATTTAATTATTTTGAATGATGCAAAAAAATATGGCTATGAAGTGGTCGACACGTTCACCATAACAATGGGGCGATACAAAGAGTTTTTGCAGGGGACCTGTGGATGTCATTTTCATGAGGTATTTATTCTGGCTCTCTGATTTTTATAGCATTTGAGTTTTTAAATTTCTCATTGTATCTTTAATTGCATTGTCGGTCGTATTTTGCATTAAAAAACTATGTCAGGAGGAGATTAAATGATGTATTCATCATTGCTCAGCTAAAGCATGTATCAATCACAACTCAAAGCTCTACAACTGAGCTGTTCAAAAAAAATGTTTATGTAGACACTTGAAAACTGGGATCACTGGTTAATGTAAGCAGGAAGATGGGAACCTGGAGAGCACTTGCCTTGTCGAATAGACTCCAAGCCTTCTGTCAGAAATTGTGTCCAAAGAAAGTGGCAAATATCTTTAGTGGAGGCAACTTGAAAATCCAGGTTATTTAATGTGTTAAACTAATGAATGACCTTCCTCCTTAGTCAATGCATAAGAGGAGGGCCTGTTTTTGAATAGTTTTTCCCACAGTGGTGAAAATGATTTTTTTTTTTTTGTAGCCAGTAATTAAATAGATTAAGCTGATAAAGTGACAGCAATTTTTCAACCCCTTCTGTGGATTATTGTCTCCCTACCACTTGAATAAAATCTTGGTAAGTCCCATAACTTTAAAACCACTTTCAGATAATAAAAGGTCTCCAATCACTTTCAGGCATAAGAAGAATCTCACTTCAGTACTAAAATTGCCCAAGCCTGTGTTGTAACCACATAAAATTATTTCCTTTCCCCAGCTCGGACCTGCCTCAGTCTCAAAAGCCCAAAGTAGGAGAGGAGCAAGAGGCTTCTTTCCTATTTCCCCATCTTGTTTTGCTATTCTTCTCCCATTCCTTCTTCACTGGGTCAGGTTAGCAAGGAGATGTTAAGAGCAACAAAATTCTTACTTGACTAGTATAAGAATAACCATGGATGTGCTCTCTGGGTATAGCATGTTGATTCCTTCTTTTTAGAGTGCTGTTGTAGACTTCTTTGAAGACACCTCCCACTGGGGCCCTCTGAAGATAGTTTCCTTGATAGTGGCAATACCTCATGCTGCTTCAATTCTTCCTTGGGCCCTTGGCTTCTAATTGTCCATCCCTCTGTTGGGGGTCACACTGCCCCTCCAGGCAGCCTCTTGGGAAATATTTAAAATTGCACTAGGCTTACTATCCTCAGTTGCCCACATTTGTTCCTTAGGAAACACTCAAGCATTCTTGCTCTGCTGTTGCTAGAAATAGTTAGCTTCCTGTGCAGCCCACTCTATTTTTCTCTTTCTCGCTCTTACTTTCACTCTCACTCTTGCTCTCTCATTTTCTCTGCCAACTGAAAGCTGAATTTTAGCTAAGGTGTCTTATACCAGTTCTAACAGTCTCCAAGCTCCTCTCAAATTTGGTCTCTTGAAGCCCTCTCTCACTTGGCTTAAAGCGACAGTGAAGCAACTCCCCAAAAGAGAAGAAGACCACTAAAAATTTGGAAAATTTCTCACAGAAATTCTCTCTCATCTTTCACCTTTATTTTCTAACTCTTTTAATGAAACAAGGACTTGCAAAATTGGATGCTATCCACACTTTTGCAAGTTTTGCATACATTGTCCAGACAGTGCCTAGGAATTTGAAGTCACTTGGCTACTGTTATTTGCTCTAGATTTCAGGACTTTCAGCTGAAACTGTGATTTGATCTCATTTGATGACCCTATCAGATATTGATTGATTCATTCTTTCTTGTACGGCCTCCTTTGTAAACCATGATGCATTCATTAATAGGAGTTGACTAGTGAGATGACAACTAAAGTTTTCTTCAATTTTTCAGCCTTGAGATTACTATCAGAATCTATCTTGGTCCTCAGATTTTTATGAATACCTAAAAGTGATTGATACTGCATTGCTTCTTCTATATGTTCTACTAATAGATTCACTTTATATTTTTATGACAAATGGCGCTGCATCTCAGAGAAGTGAGCACCTGCCCACAGTAAAGAGCATGGCATTTTAAGTTTCAGTCTAGCAACTTGGAGCTTGGCCATGCTGTTGTAGAAAAGATTTTAAGTTGTAGGACACTGTGTATCTACTTATTTCCCCCTTCCAGTATTTGTCCTGTTTGCAAAATGTCAAGGCTTAGAAACACAAAAGCTGGTAGCCTGGAAGAGGAAGAAACAATGAACTTTCAGCTGAGCCAGCTTAATCTCATAGTTGGCTACAAAAATAAGCCAAAGCTTGCTAAACCCACAGAAAATGGGGACTTTCAAATATGACATACAGATTGGTTTTTTGGGGTCTCTTTTAGAAAAGGTTTGTTTATTTATTTATTTATTTTTGCACAATGTGTCTTCAATTAGTATATAGGGTTAGGGTATGTGTTTTTCTTTTTCAGCTTTAGTGCTCTGGTAGTCTTAAAAGGAGAAGGAGTCTTCCCATGATTTCCAGCATGGCTCCAATTAAAAACAGAAGATGTCCCTCCCACATGATTGCATTACATGTATCTCCTGCCCCAGCATCAACCAATTGACACTAATAGTCATGGAATTTGAGAACTACCAAAAAGACTCTTTGGACCATTAGAACCAGAATATTAGTTTAAAATTTTACTAATAAAAACCATCCTTAATTTGCAAAATACTGATTTAAGCATGTCAGGTAAAATTATTTCACTTTTTTGATTTTATAATTTTTATGTGCAATTATCACATACGAATTGTTTTTTCTTAAGCCTCATCATCTTTAATGTGTGCTGTCTTGAAGACAAGATATATAGTTATCCCCCAAATTATCTCAGTTGACTCTAGAGCAGTGTTATCTATTTTGAAGTTTTCATGTTTGAGCTGCAATACTTCTAGGAGCATTTGCCTTTCTAGTTATAACACAGAGCTGATAAGATCATCTTTTTCAACTGACTCCCTTCAACACAAAGTCTCTAAATCTATCCATCATTTAGGCATACTTGCTGCTTAACTTTTGAATAATTTGTACCTCTTGTACCTCAGGAAGTTTCTAGTGCGGACATTGATATTTTATAATCTTTCTAAACCATCACACAACATCTTAAATCACTGTTAGCTTATTTTAAACAATCGAGAAAAATAAAGCTCATTACAAAGTATGGTTTGATGATAAATGTAGCAAGCCAGGGGAAAAAAAAACAAAAAAACGGTTATCGATCTCATGCAAAGCATGTTAATGGGTAGAAATTTATTAATAATAACCATTTTTTTTCTTTCTGTGCTCATCTTATGAGCTGGCAAAGGATTTTGTCAAATAGTAATAGCAAGAATTAAAATTAACTGTATTAGAGCCCTAAGAATTTGGATTTGGGAGCCTTTTGTCTTCTGGTGTTCAATTAAACCATTCTCACAATAGATTCACAGACACCTGAAAAAAAAAATTGGTATAATCATTACAGTAAGATCTTAATGTGTCCTTTTTCGATTAGTGCTGAGAATTCGGTCATAGACATAACAAACCTGCTCCAGTGGGCTCTTGTTGCCATAGATTAAATGGCTTGGGGCATCTCTTTCATCTGTCAGGACACCAATGAAGCATATGTTGTCACCGCGAATCTATAAACAATTTCCCAAGTGGTGTGCATTAGTTTTGACTAAAATGTTCCTGCCGATTAGAAAAGCAGGTGTTTCTCTTCATGGGTAGAGATGGAATTTTTTTCTCTCAATGTTTATGCAGGGCAACAAACAAGATCCAGGTAGTTCTTGCCCAAGATTCGTTTTGGATCATGTCTTTAGTTACGTAGTAAACATCTACTGTGAACAAGCTAAAACCTGGAGAGGATACAAAAATATTATCAACCCAAACTGGCTGCAGAAGGGATAAATCTACAACTAATTATATTCAGTGATTATTAATCAGTCTCATCAATTTAATCTTCATCTTCTATGCATTATTTAATCTTAATTAAATAAACGAAAGCTTATCTGGCCTAGAAATGTTCTCCTTCTGTATTATGAGCCTAAAGTTTTTCTCTTTCTCCTTCAAACTTTAAAAGTTTCTCATAAGCACAATGAAGACAAAAAAGCCTTTAAATTCATCTATCTAAAAAACTGAAGTAATGACTTTTAGAGAAAAAAGAATAGAGTTATCTTCTATAGAAAACCCAGAATTTAACTATCAGCGTGGCTATTTTTTAATAAATTAGTAATGACAATTTAATTCATCAAATTTTTTGAGTGTCTGTGTAAGTACTGTGTTAACTATAAAATGAGCCAGGAAATTTTTTATAGAATTCTCATAAGCATCTCAAACTAGACATGACCCTAAAGAAAGAATTAATATTCCCTTTAAACTTTCTTCTTCTCCAAATTTACTCTATTGTGGTGCTGTCATTAACAAACTAGAGCCATCCTTGATTCCTCCTTATCTTTTTCCAGACCTCTGACAACCACCAACCAGCTAGTTACCAAGTCCTGTTTACTTCCTAAATATTCTCCTGTCTTTTCCCTATGCTCTGTTACAGTTGCCTTGACCTTGTTTATTCTTTTACTTAATCATCCCACACTTGTTTTGTGAGTCTAGTACATGAGCTAAATAGTAGTGATGCAAAAATAAATAAGAAACATTCTCTGTCCTCAATACATTGTAGTTGGAGGGTTAGGCATAATAACCCATATTATGAAACAATATGTCAAGTGGCATGTTAGAGATATAAATAGGATGTTGTAATAACACCAAGAAGGGGTACCTAACACAATCTGAGGATTGAGTGAAACTTTCCTTGAAAACTGTCCAGGTAGACTCTAGTCATGGTAATAGGGTGAAGGCCAATGAAGGTCATTCCAACCTCCTGGAACAGTGTAAACTGAAGTAGCTTTGAAATAACCTGATGTTCTCAGGGAATCACAGCTAATTTGTACATTGCAGAATGTCAGTTATAAAAAGGGACCGGAAAAAGTAGGCTAGGAGATCATAGTAAGGGCTTAGCCTTTATCCTATAAATGATGGAGAGACAATGAAAGCTTTTAAAGAGAAGTAAAATGGTCATATCTTTGTTTCAGATAGGTAAGTCTGATAACAGTGAGGCAGGAAGATTTGAAGATTACCAAG